CAAGGAGGCTGTGTGGCTTCAAGTCAGGGAAGAGGTGCCTCAGCTGTCTCCTTTCACCAGACTCCTTCAACCTGTGTGCTGAGCAAACAATCCGAGAAGCTAGACGATTGACAGAAAAGCGTGCCACCGGGACTGGAGGAAGGTTATTAGGGGGGGGGCGGGTCACCACCACATGAGGAGCTGTTTTAAAGGGTTGCGGCATTAGGAAGGTTGAGAACCACGGTAAGAGGCTAGATGATGACGGATAAGCCCTTCAGGTGTCCCAGAGTGCCCTTGGTGCACCTTTCTCTTGTTGAGTTATTTGATTTCCAGAGGTGGGGGGAAATGCTAATAAAACCCAACACAAAACAAACACACACACACCACAGCCTGGGCAAGGGGCTGATGGATTAATCTTTCCAACTTAATTTAATCATAAGGCGGTTCTGTGATTGGAAAATCTGAGTGCTTTATCAAATGCTTATCTTCAGGATGATCATAAATCAGACAAGAAGGAGGAGTTAGATCGACTGTCCAAATTCTATCTCCAGCTGATCACAGACCCCCGTCTAGAGGGCTTTTTAAACACCCCAAACGCTGTTGTTTATAAGGCTGTTCCAGTGGAAGAAGGAGGCCCGGCCCTGGCCTTCCTTCTTCACATTTTTCTGAAGGACATCGCCGCTCCTTTGACACTTGATAGATGGGCCTCACTCGGACTGGCTGGTGGGCACTATCTTCTCCAAACACTCGCCGTCTGCCCGCCTCTTCCGTGGATGTGCTGACAAAGAACTTCGCCGAGACGACTTTGCCACCACCCCCACCACCCCCCCAAACGTCATTGTCACCGTTAACAACACCGCCCTGGCCTGGCACTTCGGCCGATCACTTTCTCTCTCATCTCTACTTCCCAGAGAACAATTTCCGAGGATGGCATCACCTCCCCTTCTTTAGGGGTCAAAAACAACAAAACCATCGCACACTTCAGAAGACCCTCCCTACGCCTATCACAGCCCTGGAAGGTGGGGCTGGGAGAACACTGGACCCCCAGCTTCCTCAGTGACCTGTCCCTCACCAGGAGGCTGAGTCTTCTGGCTCAGGAGGCAGCGCAAGCTCCACCAAGGATCAGAACAAATGAAATCCTCCAAGGAATGTTCTGGAACGCTGCTTCAATAGTGACACCCCCCACCCTACCCCCCCTACTCCCACACAGAATCACTTCTTTCTCTCCCCTGCCCTCCCACCAAAACCCAGTGGGCTTTCCCGGACTCCCAAAGGACCACTGTTTCACAGAAGAGATAACTGGGGGTTGGGTTGGGGGTGGGCACTGACCTCGTCGGGGTACGTCCAGGTCATCTGCACTCGGGTGTTGAGGGCTGTGGTGGCAGTGCAGTTGAGGGTCAGGGTCTGACCTCGGAGGAGTCTGACTGGCCTTGGCGTGCTCATTTGGACGTCGATGATGGTGTTCGCTGCAAGGACAAGCGACACAGTGGGGTCTGAGCTTCGTTGGGGGTCCCACCCAGCGCATCTGTAGGTGCCGACCTGGAGGATGCCACTTACTTTGCCGAAGTGTGAGATAGTTTGAGTTGTACGAGCGTCCGTGGACTGTGGTCTCACAGGTCAGAAGTCCAATCTCTCTGTAGGACGCATTTGAGATGACAAAGCCCTTCTGACTGTCCCAAAGGATTCGTTTCATATCGGGGACCAGGGGGTCCGGTGGGACCTGAAAGGGAACAATGAAAGAGGCCTGGCTTCAGTGAGGTCAGGTGAGCATGGTGGCCAGACAGTGTCACCAAGAGTTTGGGGGGAAAGTAATTTTCCTCAAAGAACGAAAAGACGACAGATTTTTTTTTTTGCAAAACACAACACTTTGTTGTTGTTTTTACTGTGCATCAAGTGAAGCCCTACCGACCCCACCATCGTTTACACCCAACCAGCTCACACACCTCTTGGTCTCAAGGCTGCTGTTCCCACCAGTGAGCATCACTCAACAGCGCCCCACCCCCATCCTCCCTCCATGCCCTGTTTCCAAGCCCCAGTCTTCCCTAACCCTTTGAGCTCTGTCCTGGGGTAAATGCTGCCCTTTCGATCTCAGGTGGTTGATGATTCCGCCGCATGGCGATGCTATGGGGCAGGGTAGAACTGGTCCCTGTGGGTCTCCAAAGCTGCGACTCTTTAGGAGAGGAGAGAGCCTCATCTTCCCCGCCCCAGAGTGGCTGGTGGTGTCTCACTGCCGACCTCTCTGTTAGCCCCCAAGCACTTTAGCCTGGGCACCACCAGGGCTCCTATACTGGGAGTATTACCAGAGCGTTGCGTGGTAATTCCATCCTGTGTACAATGAGCTGAACTCGATCGAAGGATTTGTTTCTAGCTGTGGTAAAGTCAAGAATCAACTCAGGAATCTTTTCCACTCGATGGGAAAGGGGGGGTTCTCTTTGGACGTGATGGAGTAAGTATGAAAAGACTAAGAAAAAAACCAAGAGCGAACAACTGTAAACCAAGGCTTCAAGTCTTCAAGGCTTTAAAGAGAAAAGGAACCTGCTCCCGGATTTCCTTGGCTCAACTTACAAACACTATTCAACGTTCCTTGGGCCTGCTTCCCTGACTCGAGGCTGTTTGGTCTTCCTGCGAGGAGCTGGCAACATCTGGCAAGCTGACAAGAGCCAGCTCAGCAAGACGGTCACTAGCCATGTCATGGAGAGACCCCAGGGAGAAAGCTGTGGGACTGAAGGCCACGTCTCCAGCTGGCCGCAACTCCCATTGTTACAGCCTCTGTGCCGATTCTGTTTGTCTCAGGCCTCCTCTTGTTCCCTGCCCTTCCACTGTCCCAAGCACGGTGTCCTTTCCCCCGGACTGGCCTCTCCTGACAGCATGTCAGATGAAGTCTTGCCATCCCTCCCTCTGAGCAACACTCTCAGAAACACTTCTTTGAAGACAGATTGGTTTGTCCTTTCAGCCGTCCCAGGTCCTTTCAATATACTTCTCCAGTCCCACAATTCAAATGCCCCGGTTCTTCTACGGTCTTCCTTATGTAACGTCTAACTTCCACGCGCACACGAGGCAATGGCAAATACCATGCCATCACGTAGTAACTTAGAATATTTCCAATATGCAGATTCAAATTAATCCCCCTGTTAGGATTTTATACTCCTCTCTAGAGACTAGGCAAGGCCACCTGGCGGTAGGAGCCTAACCAACCGCGGACATCATTGTGAAGAATGGGCACGGCATAACCCTCCATCATGCTTGTGTGGAGCCTGCACACGGGCCAAGAGGGGGCCTTTGAGGAGCGCAAGGAGGCTGTGTGGCTTCAAGTCAGGGAAGAGGTGCCTCAGCTGTCTCCTTTCACCAGACTCCTTCAACCTGTGTGCTGAGCAAACAATCCGAGAAGCTAGACGATTGACAGAAAAGCGTGCCACCGGGACTGGAGGAAGGTTATTAACAACCTGTGATGTGCAGGCGACCCCGCCTCCCTTGCTGACAGCGAGGGGGACTGGAAGCCCTTGCTGAAGCCCCATCTCCTCAGAACGGGATCAACAGACAGCATCACGACCAACAGAGCAGGACTGAAGTTGTCAAGGACGTCACTTGACTTGGGCCAGTCAGGGAAGCGACATAGTTCCTTCAGCAAATCTGCTGCCAGACCTCTCCTCTAACGTGTTGGAGAGCCAAGGGGTCGCTCTGCGGACTAACGCGGGCCTGGGTATTTTCAATCCCCTCCGCAGCATGTGAAAGTTGAGCTCTGAATACCGAAGCCCGAAGAAGAGTCAATGCATTTGAATGATTGTACCGGGGAAGGGTACGGCAGGTACCAGGGACGACCGGAGGAACAGACATCTGGAAGAAGTGGCAGGCTCTCCACAGAGGAAACCCCTAAGCAGACCGTGCCGTGAGGTGCTCCGGTGGTCATCTTTGTTCCTCAGACAAGGAAACTGAGGTGGAAAGGGAGACCAGATAACTTGCGAGTTCACTCAACAGGGTGGCAAAATCTTCCTCCTCCCTAATCTAATGGGAAGGTTGGCATGAGACCAGATAGGAAGTCAAGATATGGGCTGGAATTCCCAGGAGGAGCCAGGAAGTCCCTCAACACCCTGGAGCGCTAAGGGCTTACTTCCATAGATTGAAGTCTCCCACTGTGAGCTCCGGTCATCAAGAGTTTCTTCTTGGGGTGATGGGTCACAAGATGGAATGAGAGCCCAAACCTGCCTCTGATGGGAGATTTAAAGTGTGTGAGTGCAAGGGGGAGTTTCATGCTTCTCAAAACTCAGAGCACTTAGATTTTAAAAAGGAAGCCACCTTGGAGAGGTACCGGGAACCCTGGGAGCATTGTGGTTACCACAAGGTCAGCAGTTAGAAACCACCAGTGGCTCCGTGGTCGAAAGGCAGAGCTTTCGACTCCGCTAAAGAGTCCCAGTCTCAGAAACTGACAGGGGTCGCTCTACCATGTCCTGTAGGGTCGCTGTGCGTTGGTGGTAGTGAGTTTTGGGTTTGATTGAACCACACTATGCCAGGCTACCAGGAGCGCAGGGTGGCACTGTGAGTTAAGCTCTGGGCTGCCAACCTCCAGAGCAGCAGCTCAAACCCACCAGCTTCTCAGCAGGAGAAAGAGAAGGCAGTTCGCTCCCCTAAAAGATGGATAGTCCCTGAAACTCTACTCTCTCCCCTGTCCTACAGGGTGGCTGTGGCTGTGAACTGATCCGAGGGTGGTGGGTGTGTGCTCCACTCTTACTTTCAGTTACCCATAGAACTGCTTCTTTCACCGGTGGGAGCCGGTTGGGATCTGCGGTGATCAGGAAGGGTATCCTGGTTTGGCTCTTTCATTCTACACCCAGATCGATGCCAAGACATCACTGGTTTCTGCTACTTAACCTGATGCATGGGCATATGTGATAGCTTGCATCCTTCATGGTCAATGGATGCTTCAGACAAGGCCACACTCAATGTCCATGTCTGTAAGCTAGCTGTGGCGGAGAGGGAAAATGGCTCAGGGCCCCTCGGGATGTAGGGCACGCATTCGGAGACTGGAGACAGGCCTGTCTTACCTTGGTTAAGGTCACCGTGAGGTTGGGCGAGGAGACTCGGCAGGGGATGATGATCTCCTGTCCTTCCGTCAAATGAAGGACTTCAGGCATGTCGCTGTGCATCTCTACGAAGGGCCTATTGGGGTCTGAAGAAGGGAAAAAGCGGCTCATGTGCATGAAGTGCTGCCCCACGCACAGAAAGGTCCATTGTCGGAACCACCAGCCCACTTGTGAGCAAGAGCATGGACCATGTGCGTCTACAAAATTGACAGCTTAGGACTGACTCCCGATGGGGGTGGTTTTGCTAGGAATTGGAACCACCTGGAGACAGCACCCAACCACCAAGGTAAGATGAGCCCCTCCTCCCCTTCACATCAGCCACACATTCACATTCCTTCTCTCCAATATTAACCCCCCTACCCCACCCCCCAAAAAGAGAAAGAAAGAAAAGAAACGCCTTCTCCACAGTCCAGTCCCTTCTGTGGCTTTCCCTTTAGGGGACCAGCCTGCCCTGGTGGTCCAGTGAGCCATTGCGACCCTGTGGGGGAGGCGTAAGGGGGTGGGAGAGAGAAAGGAGAGTGTTCTGCATATAGCCCTTGTCATGGCTATGCTAAGTGCCCCAGGAAGCGCCCCCCTGGGCGTCTTTGTGAGCAGTCAGAGGGGGCAGGAGCCACAGCTGCTCTGGAGCAGACCTGGGTCAGGGCTACCTTTGAGGCAGGTGCTGCAGGTTGGAGAGGGGATTACCATGTGAATGAGACTAGCAGGACCTAAAAGCTTTCTGGCCGTCTGGAAGAGAGAGGGGGTCAGGGGGCCGGGTTCGAGAAGCAGGGTGGGAGGCTGTCTGTCTTTCATATGCTTATGAAAACTGTGGTCAGTTTATGCAGAGAGGTCTGGGAAAGGCCTAAGAAGGCCAGCCCTGGATGCTGAAGGTGGGATGGTTTGGCACCTAAGGGCGTGGGCTGCACATAAAAGCCATGGAGACAGAGAGGCCCCTCTCTGTCTACTGCTTATCCCCCTGGGCACCTGGGTGGTTCCTCCTCTTCCTCTGGAAAGCCTAGCCAGGCCCTTCCTTCCCGCCCAGCCCCACCCAATACCTCTCCATCCCCAAGTGCCCTGCATTCTTCCAGGACCACACAGAAATCTGCGGGATGATTGACAGGCTACATTCCAGGTGCATTTCGGGGGTGGGGGGGTGGGGTCACCTCTGTCAGGGGTATTTTTAGCTAAGACGAATGACCAAATAAATAGCCATGCAACCCTGCCACCTTGCAGGTGAGTGCAAGAGATGGCTGCACTGTCTTGTTTTAAGATCCCAGAGATGGGAACAGAGTGGACCTGGGGGCCAGACTCTCTGGACCACCACTCTGGTCTGTTCTCTAGAGGTGGCGCCCCCCACAGGAAGGGCTGAGAGTGGCAACTGGTAGTCAGAAGCCAAAGACTGATGTTCCAAGTTGGGTGGGGACAGTTCCGAGCCGTGTCACCCTGCAGGGTGTCTTTTCAGAGACTGAAAACGGGGTGAACCTGCTCACAATAGCAAAAAGAGGTGAATTTGCTCTAAGGCCCCATTAGTAGATGAATGGCTACGTACAATGAGGTGCACGTTATACACAGGAATATGGATTCCTGAAACATCACGTGGATGAACCTGGAGGATATTATGTTTAGTGAAATGAGTAATCAAACACACACACACCCAAAAAGAAGGAGGAGGAGAAGAAAGAAAAGGGGGTGATCACCAAGGGGACCATGGCCAGACCTTATGAGACTTGGAGTCCTGAGGAGTTGGGGCGGGGGTGGATGAGACTCCTGGCCCCACCCCCAAAACAACCACCCAAACCAAACTCACTGCCCTGAGTCCATGCTCACTCAGAGAGTGTATAGAGAGGACAGCGCAGAGCTGCTGCCTTTGTGGGTTTCCCAGATGGTCACGATGGGCGTAGAAAGCCTAATTTTGCTCCTGCAGAGAGGCTACGGTTTTGAACTGCTGACTTTATAGTTAGCAGCCCAGCAAGGGAACCGCCGTGCCACCAGGTCTCGGGACCTGCCCCCTCCTGGATGACAAATCAAGTCACTCTGTGCCTCATCTATGAGATTTAGTGGCCAAACTCCCAACCAAATCTACGACCAATCGAATGGATTGTGACTCACAGCGACCCTGGGTCGGATGAGGCTCTACATCTTTCCAGGAGCAGACAGCCTCCTCTTTCTCCCGTGAGGTCTGGGACAGGCTTAAAAAGCGTGGCCTTAGCTGTGAAGATGGGATGTCTGTGGTGGGCGGTCCAGTGCTTATCACAAAAAGTGGCTTCTCATAGAGTTGACCCTGGGACATAGTGACCCCTAGGATAGACCTGCCACAAAGGGTCTCCGAGGCTGCAATTTAGGAAGCGGGTGGCCTCACCTTTCTCCTGTAGGTGGCCTGGTGGGGGCAAACCCTTCAGTTAACAGCCAAGTGCTTGGTGCTCAGTTCTGACCCACAGCACCCTATGGACAAGATAGAACTGCCCCTGTGGGTTTCCAAGGCTGTCAAGCTGTATGGGAGCAGACAGACTCACCCTTCTCCTAAGGAGCAGCTGTGGAGTTCAAACTGTTGGCCTTGTAGTTAGCAGCCCAACTTGTAACCTGTGATGCCACCTGGGTGCCTTAATTTGACTAAACTAGGCCCCAAATGGAGTCATTTGTGCTGAGCTTACCCCCACCTCCCCCCGCCACCCCCACGCCCTCATGCCAGCAAATGAAAACCACAGTTTCTATTTCCTGTAAAGGCCTCACCTTCTGGGAAGCTGAAATCCAAGTGCACCCCCAGACTCTCCAGGAAACAGGAACCTAGCTAGTGTATCAAGACTTGCCTGCTGGGTTCAACCATTCAAAATGGCCCTGAATCCCAAGCCCGGAAAGAACAGGCCCGCCAGAGGATGGGGAGTCTGTCTGTCCACGCTTCCTCACTCCAAGGCCTGAGCTCACACGAGCCCTCCAGCTTTGGACCTGATTTTGGACGTCCAATCTGACATTCAGGCCTGTTTCACGAATTCAAAATATGAAGCTTACGAGTTCTTATATGCATTTAAGATTGCAGAATTTTTTTTGTTTAAATGGTAATGACGAGAACAGCATCAATTAAGACATGGGCAGCACTCACAATGAAGGCTGGCAGTACTATCTAGTACTCTACCTGTGTGACCCAAGGAGCCTGGTGTCACAGTGGGTTAAGCATTGGGCTGCCAACCAGAAGCTCACCAATGAATCCAGCCACAGGCCTCATGGCAGGAAGACGTGGCCAGCTTCTGTAAAGATGGACGGCCCCAGATACCCCATGGGCAATTCTACTCCATCCCTAGGGTCACTATGAGTCTGTGTCAACTTGGAAGTGATGGGTGGTATTATTAGAGGCATGAATTTATGGAGAGGGAGGGTAAATGGAAATTAAAAATCAGACTTGTGATCTTAACGATATGAATGTCTATTCATATAGTGGCATAGAAAAAAATAAGCCTATAACCTAGTGTATAATATAAAGCCGAATCCAAATGAAATGGAAGCAGCTAATTCAACATGCCTTTGAATTTCTTCTTTCCCTTTGTCCTTTGTCACAGGCCGACAGGGGTGATGGTGGCACAGTGGTCAGGTGCCTCGCTTCTAACTGAGAGGTCGGCAGTCCAAGCCCACCCAGTGGCTCTGGCGGAGGCAGACCTGGTACTCTGCTCCTATAAAAATGACCACCTGTGACCCCGTGTGGCGGCATGTGGACTCTGTGACCGAGGGACTCTGTAAGTGAAAAATCAGCTGGTGGTGCCCAAGAAAAACAACAATAAGGTGAGCAATGAGGACCTTTGGATGGGGACTTACCCTCCCTGCTTTTGTCAGATCCTTCTAGCATGACCGTGTCTTGTTCCATGACATCATGTTTAGTATAGAAATGAAAACTAAAATGGTAAGACTCCACTGTCATTTGAGGAGAATGCTAAGTCTCGTGTTCCATGTACTTTCCTTGTGTCCTGGAGAATAGGATGCGACGTTCACGGCCGCGTTTGCTGAAGTTATGTGTTTACTAGGAAAGCTCAGTGGGTGTGGAGAAGCCAAGTTAATTACACAGAGCCGAAGGATTCACATCTCAGCACTAAATTCCTCCTGTAAATAGAGTTGCTGAGCTAGACATTCAGGCAAAGACTAGTGGGATTTGATCATTCCTTTCCTTCCTCCTGTGGGTCTATATTTTAGTCTCCTTTGTGAGTCCCAAGGTAAACACAAACACCAGGAAACAGTTGAATTCATTTAGCTGAACGGTAAATCCTTCATATTTAATTTACTGTCTCCTTAAGCAACCATGCTCAACAAAGGACTGGCATAGAAAGCTCTACCAGGAAACGGTGGACATCAGAGTAGTTATTTCTAGGCGAATAAATGCCAACCCCCAAACGATATGGAAGAGATTGGTTTAGCTGGCCTTTGAATTTCTTCTTCCTCTCTGTCCCTTTATGGGATTTCCAAAATGCTTCAACTGTATGTACGATAGCTACTGGGTTACCCTCCAAAAGCCAATACACATTTTTAGCCCGGAACCTACTGCAGCCTGCTCAAAGATGGTAGGCCGTCCGTGGCTATGAGTCATCTCAGCACACATGAAAACACATCACTTGTGCAATGCTGCACAGCGACATCATAAATCCACTTGGATTTGCAAGTTCGTTTATGACTGTAGACACACACACACACACACACACCACAAACAATGCTCTCTGGGCTTATTAATAGTACACTTCCTCTGTGATCTGATTCGAGCAAGGGCTAAGAATGAACTCGCCTGCCATATAATAATACAAACATTTTTGTGTTTTGTTTTGAAAGACTGCTGATCCAGAGCAGGTCAATGTTCCATTATGATCCCCTGTAAAACCACTTACTGTTCCCTCAGGGCACATTTGTCTTTGTCACAACATTAAAAAATGACTTCCAAACCCAGCCGGCACTGCAGAGCGGCTTCCTGAGACCAAATTGGCCCGGTGTTGAAAGAGCCCGGAAGAAGCTGCTCCAAAGACTCCCGGTGTGCCGGTGGCTCAGACTCACTGTCACCAGGGGCTCGGGCCAACACCCGGCGAGGTACAGGTCACACCACCCTGACCTTTCCAAGCCCCTCCCACTCGAAGCAGGG